AAGGGGATGAAAGAGTGATGAAGAAAAGAGAAATAGGAGAGAGAGATAGGAGTATTGAAGTGGAAGATTGGGGGAGATGGGATTAGTAGAAGATGGTGAGTGGGGAGGAGAGGAGAGAACAAGGTGGTGGGAGATGAGTGAAGAGGGAGGTGGGAGGAGGGGGGGTAGTGGTAGTGTTGGAAAGGATGATTAGAGGATGGGGGTGGAGAGAAAAGGGGTTGGGGGAGGGTAGGTTAGTGGAGAGAGATAACACCAGGTTTTTGGTTGGCCAAGAGCAAAACACTACCAAGATCCACAGGATCTTGGCCTTCAAGGTGCTGTTGGCGTGATGCCACAACAATAAGAAATGTTGATGATCATGATCTAGGGTTGGCTGAGATCTTGATCAGCCACCCTAGTGCGACAGTCACACAGCCCCCTAGGCAGGGGGGAATCTTGAGCTGCTGCAAAACTGTTGTTGCAGCAGTAGAAAAATAGTATAAAATAATGTGGCGCAACCCTCTAGCCAGGGGGGTCTTCAGTCTCCACAGCAGGCTGCCACGTGGCACTGCATATGGCCACGTGCGCAGGCAGCAGCAGCCGCGGGGGGGGGGGGAAGGCAAATAGCAGCCCGACTGTTGCTGCTCTGCTGCTCGCTGCTCACCGACAGGGGGGTGTAAATAGCTGGCACGCACCTCTTCAACAGTAGCGTGCCACACTACAGAACCATACATGCAGTATGGCGAGTGTGTTATAAGAGTAGATTACGCACGTGCAAGCCCAGCAGGTGCCTGGGTTCAAACCCCAGCAGCAGTAAGATCCGGGATCTTAATAATATAAATCCGGGAGCAGGGAGGGGTAGGGCAGCGAGGCAGCGTGGGCGCGTGGCGTGTGCGCGCGTGCGACGGCCTTGGCCTTAGTGCTTGCTCGCACGCTCTCGTGATGGCACGTGCTTTTTCCGCCACGTGTCACTTCCTGCAACAACTTTTTTCACCCTCGTTTTCGTCGAAAAAGGGTCTGAAAATGGCCAAAAACCCGCCTGTCGGGTTTTGTTGTTTTCCCAGCTGTACGGGGTGGTGGGTGGAAGCGGGGAACGTTCCCGGTCCGATATCAGTGTGGCGGACCCACCAGGTGTGGTGCTCCGCCAGAGATAGAGATGGAGATGGAGGAAGAAGGAGCGAGATGGCACAGCACAGCTCCCACGCCGGACTCCAACGCACGTACTAACGCACGTACTCCAAAATGTGCGAATGTA